AACTACTGTGGAAACTTCCTTAGGGCAATTCTGCGAGGTAAAGTGACTCCCTGGCCAGCAGATCTCCACAGGAGGGGACAGTGTCTACCTCTGCTGCAGCAGCACAAAGAGATAAAAGGAGTGCTTGGCAGAGGCCCTCCAAGCCCAACCAGCAGGCAGGGGGAGCTCCTGCAGTCCAGTGGAGGGTGACAGAGAGGCTCTACTCAGGGTCTTTTCTATTTCCTGTATTTCATGGTGCTGTGAGACCCTGGAGTGGGGTTAATTCTGGAGGGACTATCCCTTCTGGGCTCACTGGCATTACAGTGCACGAATGGCTGGCTGTGACCACAATTTTCCTGTACAAACCAGCCCTGGCCGAGCCTGTAGCTCCATCCACATCCTTGAGCTGACTCTTGCTCAAGCCACCTCTTCCCTGCCCTAAGCCACAGGTACCACAGGCCAGAGCCTGCTGAGACAGTTCAGCCTGTCCTTGGCTTGCTCAGGGTCTCCTGCCTTGCACATGCTTTGGAAGGTCCTGGGCTGCACCTTTGCCCTTCTCCTAATGGAGCTTTCTCTGTGGCCTGATGGGTGCCCCTGCTCTTGGGAACCTCTCTCCTCACCAAACTTTGTTTGAGCAAAACCCAGGAAGAGCCAGGAGGTGAAAGTCATCTTTGTGGATTCTGAAGTCGGGAGAGGAGTTGCAGAGGACAGAGAGCCAACAGAAGAAACCACCAGGCACTGTGGGGGTTTGGCAAAGACCAGGAAGATGTGGGGCAGCGTCCTGGGAACATAAGAGCATTTGCAGCCAGGAGTTCTCAGGGTGCAGTGCAGTAGAAGTGGCAGTGAGGAGCCACAGGCCTCAGCCTGCTTCCTGGCCCAGGGAGGGGGCTGGGTATGAAAGCATCCACATCACAGAGCACAGTGAAGCTGGGCTTCTTTGTTGGTCTCTTTGTTAACCCTGGGGAGAAACAGCAGCAGGAATGAGGAAAAGATAGATGAAAAGACAAGAGCTGGGTTGGGTGGTGGCCAATTGCCTGATTGGCAAATGACCACCCAGACACACACACACACACACACACACACACACACACACACACACACCAGTAGGGGCATTTATCTATAGCTTTGTAAAGTTAGTATCATGAGACCCAAGGTTGCCTAGTGACTAATAGCTGACATTGACCAGGCAGGATGCTTTTCTCAGGACTGAGGTAGCTTGACTGCTTTAGGCGCTGAGGCCTAGTCCCACTCTCACACATTTGATCAATTTCCAGCTTCAGTAGCTCCCAGCACTTAGAGTGGAAAGCAGAATGGGACCTTCTCGGAAGAGACTGAAGATAAATGTGAAGGTTGAGTGATTGTGTCAACTTGAATTTAGTTAAGAGAAGCTTAACTAAATCTGCTGGGCAATTTTACACCCTAGTGTGGCTTTTCACCTGGATGGCATAAAGGGGAAATCAGGAAGGACAGATTGGCTTCTGTTCTTTAGAAGAGTGAAGAGGAAGAAGAGGAAGAAGAAGGAGGAGGAGGAGGCGGCAGAGGAGGAGGAGGAGAAGGAGAAGGAGAAGGAGAAGGAGAAGAAGAGGAGGAGGAGGAGAAGGAGGAGAAGGAGAATGAGAAGGAGAAGAAGGAGGAGACAAAGGAGAAGGAGAAGGAGAAGGAGGAGGAGGAGAAGGAGAAGAAGGAGGAGACGAAGGAGAAGGAGAAGAAGGAGGAGGAGGAGAAGGAGAAGGGGAAAGAGAAGAAGGAGGAGGAAGAGGAGAAGAAGAAGGAGAAGGAGGAGGAGAAGGAGAAGGAGAAGGAGAAGGAGAAGGGGAAGGAGAAGAAGGAGAAGGAGAAGGGGAAGGAGAAGGAGAAGGAGGAGGAGGAAGAGGAAGAGAAGGAGGAGGAGGAGGAGAAGGAGAAGAAGGAGAAGGAGAAGAAGAGGAGGAGAAGAAGGAGAAGGGGAAGGAGAAGGAGGAGGAGGAAGAGAAGGAGGAGGAGGAGGAGAAGGAGAAGGAGGAGGAGAAGGAGAAGGAGAAGAAGAGGAGGAGAAGAAGGAGAAGGAGGAGGAGGAGGAGGGGAAGGAGGAGAAGGAGAAGGAGAAGAAGGAGGAGAAAGAGAAGAAGGAGGAGAAGGAAAAGGAGGAGAAGGAGGAGGAGGAGAAGGAGAGTTCCATTCTCCCCTTCAGCTCGGACATCGTTTTCTGGCTGTCATGCAGACTTTTTAGTTCCCACCTCGGGAACCAGATCCATCGGCCTCCTGATACAAATGTGCCTGGACACTGCAGGGAGCTCCCTTCAGACAGAATCCTTCCAACTCCAGTGTGCAGAGCCCTCTGCCTGCTTCCTCATCCAGCTCGGGGTGGCCATCCTGAGCTAATCTTGTAACGGCTTACCCCTGTGTATACTTTGTGTTCTATCTGTTTCTCTAGCAGAACAGAGTGCAGGGCATCTGGGGAGTGAGTGGAACCCAGAGCAGGAGGGCACAGCTGGGAGGGAGATGGAGGTAGAGCAAAATGTGGCAAGCCCTGGGAGACCCAAGGTCAAGGCCACCTTGGTTCTGTCATTGTTGTTTTACCCCCAGCAGCATCCAGCACAGCCCTGCTCCTCCTTTCTGAGATTCTGTATTCTTGGTTCTGCCAACTTGGCATCTGGGTGCTGCGCCCACTCTCTCTGCGCCCACTCTCCCTCTACTCACAGGGACCTCTATCTCTGTGCTCCGGAGTCTCCATTTAACTGAGTGGCTGGTAGCACATGCCCACCAGGAACACGGGATCTGAGAGGACTTGTGGGGCCACCTCACCTGTCACAAATCTCCTCGGGCTCCTCTCCTTTCCAGCCTAAGTCCCTGTTCCATTTGTTTGTTGGAAATAACCAGGTTAGGTTTCAGAGTGGTGTCCCAAATGCAGACAACGCCCAGCCCTCACTTCAAATACAGGCTGCAAAACAGTTACCAAATCCTTAGCTTCTGCTCCCCACCAACCCACCTGGAAAGGCCTAGCCTATGGGTGTCTGGCAGCTGGTCACCCACCCCAAATGACATGTGGGTATCTCCTCTTCCTTGGGCTGCTGTTCTGTGCACTGACTTCCTTTTATGACCCTTCAGGACGGGCTAGTCAGCAGCGCCCCAAGGTGTCCCACCTGGCTTACACTTACTGTACCTCTGAATACAGACATGTCTTGATTTACATCTGGGTTACATCCTCATCAACCAAAGAATGATAGTAGAGCTGGGCGTGGTGGTACATGACTGTAATATGTGTGGGCATGTGTGTGAGTGCACGTACACACACACACACACACACACACACACACACACACTCTGGGAGGCTGATGCAAGTGGATCACAAGTTCAATGCCAGCCTGGGGAATATAACAACTCCTGTGAAAGCTTGTGTCAAGAGAAAAGAAAAGGGGCTGGTGAGATGGCTCAGTGGTCTAAAGCACCTACCTAGAACAAACTAAGCTAAGCAAAGCACAGGGACCGCGGTTCAATCCCCCAGCACCACATGCCAGCCAGCCTGACCCCTGATGAGCTGAGCTGGCCACACACACACACACACACACACACACATAAATAAAATAAAATAAAAAAGAGAAAAGAAAAAACTGGGGATGAGAATTCCCAGCACTACAGAAATAAACAAAAGTTAAAAAGGGAAAGTGGGGGCCAGCAAGATATCTCAGCAGTATAAAGCACCTGCTTAGGCAAGTGCAGGGGCCAAGGTTGGAGGTTCCATCCTTGGCACCACATGCTGCACCAGCCCGGCCCCCAGGCCCAGCGGCCACAAAACAAAAAGCAGTGACAGTGGTCAATTTCTGGCAAGCATGAGGTCATGAGTTTGATTCCTGATACCAAAGAAGAAGAAGAAGAAGAAGAAGAAGAAGAAGAAGAAGAAGAAGAAGAAGAAGAAGAAGAAGAAGAAGAAGAAGAAGAAGAAGAAGAAGAGTGACAGTGGAAAGACAGGTATGGCGGCACTTGGGAGGCTGAGGCAGGAGGCTCATCCCAAGTTTGAGACCATCCTGGGCTACAAGACCCTATCTTCAAAAGACAAAACAACAACAAAAGCGACAGTGGAAAATGCCTGAGAGGAGACGACATTAAATGCCGTGAAGCTACCAAGCATCGGTGCTTGTCTAGCCTCAGACGTACTCAGACCCCTCACATGAGCCCACACGTGGGACAGTCGCCCCGCACGACTGCTTTGCAAAGCGTGCCAAGCATCTCAGTAAATGTATTCAACATGTACTGAAAGTGAAAACGAAGGGGGGGGTTTGGAACATTCATAGCCTGGCATGATGGTGAAAACCTGTAATCCTAGTATCTTGAGAAGCTGAGGCAGGAGGGTCTTGAGGGTCTTAAGTTTGAGCCCAGAAAAATCACTGAGATGTCTCAAAACAAAACACCAAACCCTGTGCTGCAGCTTAGTGCTAAGGTCCTGGGCTCGACCTCCCATCAGCATAATTTCTCCTGGTTTTAGAGTCATCGGCAGCCCCCAGTACCCCTACCCCTGCTGTTGGATGCTAGCTAGGTCGGTCCCATGAAAACTCTGCACCCGCGTCCCTATCAGCTCCGGAGGAGCGAGCCCAACGGACGCGGGAAACTAGGCCGGCTGAGCGCCCCCGGGACGTCTTGCAGGCCCGCGGGGTGGCGTACCCGGGCGCAGGGGAACCAGGCGGGCTGAGCGAGGCTGGTGCGCAGCACAGGTGAGCCGGGCGGGTCTCCCCATCCTCGGCTGGGCAGGTCCAGGGGCCAGGGGGCGGGTCTTGGAACCGGGGTGGGGCTGGGTCCTGAGCCTCGGCGCCGGCTGAGGGGACGGATCCTAGTCAAGGGACGGGGCTCCGGGAGAAGCAAAGGAGGGCCGTAGAGGGCCTTTGCCCCAGACAGACATTGCACCTGGCAGGTTAGCTAGAAGCGGTACGGGGTGGGGCTGGGCCGCGGGCAGTTGGAAAGACCCGGTCCCGCAGCGAAGGCGGGGCCGAGTTCTGCTCGGGGGCGTGTCGCGGTCTTGGGGCGGGGCCTCACCCTTGGGGCGGGGCCCTGTCCTCCGAGCTGGCCGAGGTGTCTGTCCGCGGCGCGGGTGGCCGCGGCATGGGGCGGGTGCAGCTCTTCGAGATCAGCCTGCGCCAGGGCCGCGTCGTCTACTGCCCGGGGGAGACGCTGGTCGGGGTCGTGCGCGTGCGCCTGGCGGCTCCACTGCCCTTCCGAGGTGGGCGCGGGAAGCTGGATCGGGCGGTGGGGTAGTCTCCTGAGGGGAGGTCGTTAGGGCCCCCAGGCCTGGGACCCGAGTCCCGGGAGCTCGTGCACTCTCGGGGCACCGAGCGCCGCAGCCCCGCCGGGGTGGGAGGCCAACGGCGGCCGGGGCGGGGCTGGCGCCCGGTGGCCCAGTCCTTCCGCATCTGTTCCTTCCTGTTCTTTCCGTCTTGGGCGGCCCAATCTCTAGCCGAGACCACCCTATCCCTGGACACCGCAGGCCTCTGACCTTCTTCTCCAGGTGTCTAGGTTCGCCTGCGCCCGCACCTGCTGAGTTCTCGCCGGAAGTCCAGCCCACTCTGGGCCCCCAGCGTCCTCGGTCCCGAGAGTGCTGGGCACTCTTGCTCCAGTGAGAGTCAGACCTGGTCCAAGGCCACGGGTCTCCAGTAGGTCTGGAAAGCAACTACCTGCACCCTGCCTAAGACTGGCTCTTGTTGCTCGAGTGGCTGATCTGGGCTGGGCCCAGGGGCTGAGCCGGAGCCTCTGCTGGTGCAGACCTCTGGGACTTTGGGAGTGGGAATCGGATTGCTGAGGTAGCTACACTGATAGAGCCTCGGCCTGTGTGAGCCTCCTCTGCCCATCCACAGGTGTAGCTGCTTTCCTGGACGAGACCCTGGGTAGGACTTGATGGCTGAGCTCTCAGGGTAGGGTGTGGTGGGCAGTGTGGTGGCCTCTGGCTTTGAGTGTGAGGCTGGTGTGGCTGTCCCAGTGGGTGCCTCACTGCCTTGGCCTCCTGTGAGAGCCACCTGGCTGCTTGGCCCAAACTCCAGCTGCCCACTTCCCTCTGAATTTGGCCCTGGGGCTCATGTTGTTGACAGTGCGCCCCTCCGTTGTGGAAGACAGAAGCCATCTTTGCCCTTTGTTCAGTTGTCCTGGCGCTGTGATGCTCCCTGTCCCTCAACCTCATGCAGGTTGCCAGGGTCTAGGAGAAAGCTGGGTGGTGGTTGTAGATGCTTGTCAGCTCTGCCCTTTTTGGTCCTTCTCTCCTGTATCTCCAATTGGAGTTGTGTTTGGGTGGGGGCAGGTATGGCCACTGCAGAGGGCATTGCAGTGAGAGGCCAGCTCTTCTTGAGCAATATGAGGTGAGGGTGAGGCGAGGCCTCCATCCTGGCCCAGCAGAATGTGATATAGGCCATGTGCATGTGGGCTGGGGGACATGCGGACCAGTACAGAGCCCCTATGTGGAGGTCACTTCCAGGCTTGTCTATTCTCTCCTTCCCTCTCTGGCTTGGATTGGGGTGGACAGAGCATTGTATTGTGTGCCAGCCCCGAGCCTCTGTGTGACAGGTAGAATGTGGGTAAATAGACAGCTAGTTGAGGAGGGTGAGGGAGCCCCAGCTCTTCCCAGTTGTACATGGGGCTCAGGGGCTTCCTCCAGCCTCCCATGGGGCGGGAGAAGAAAGGCCACAGTACTTTTTTCCCTACATTCAAAAGATATTGCTGAGCTCCTGCTAGGCCCAGTAGGTATACCAGGAAGGCACCCCACACCCTGGAAGGATGCACGCTGCCTTGGGTTTCCCAGTCTTGCTCTCTGAATTCCTGTCCTGTGAGTGACAGTGACAGTCAGCCCCTGGACACGAGGATCCTGCTGCCTGAGAGCTGATGTGGAAGGAAGGCTGTTCTCTGGAGCCTCTGCGGGGCTGGGCGGGGCAGCCCCACACTGCTGTGGCACAGACCTGAGCTCTGATCACAGAGCACTCTTGGTGTTCACATGGTGTGTCCGAAGCAGAACAGCACACTTGAAGGAGTGATGTGGACAAGAGCTCAGCTTTAGAACTAGGAGAGAGGTATGGAGGAATCTTTGGATCCGTGTCCAGGTACCAGGAAGAGGGCTACTGGGCAGGTTAGAGTGCAGTGAGAGGAAAAGTTCCAGAAGTTACCAAGGAACTTGGTTTTCATGGTGATTTTCCTAAGAGAAACAGAGCAGCCCCAGCCTCTGTGCTGACACCTGCAGCTTGGGGCCTGCCTTTGTTAGGCTGCTGAACGCGTGTGTGGGGCAGCACTGTACGGCGTATGGTACTTTACAGTCTTGGCATGTGGGGGGGGCCTTGCCATAGCACTGTGTCTGGTTCAGGGCAGTGCTGTGGTGTTGCCTGCTCACCTGCAGGGTCACTACTGAAGAGTAGCCCAGCCAGGTATGGCCAGCAGGCCATCCAGTTCTGCAGCTTGTCCTGGTCACTGGGAGAGAAGGGGGAGCTTCTGCTCCCATGCGCTGTCTCCAGCAGCAGGGAGACCCCTCCCAACATGTCCAGGACACCCCTCACTTTCCCTGGGCCGAACTGCATCCTGTGACCTGCTTGATCCGTGGATCAGGGAAACCAGAAAGTGGGCCTTGACCATTGAGAACCGGTGCCCTGAGGAGGCTTCCCAGCCTGACCTGCCGCTCGCTGCAAGGCCGAGGAGGATCTTCAGGTGTTTTGATGAAGTGGCAGGCAGGCTGCTGGCAAGCCCTCTACCTCTGTTGTCCCTGCTGAGAGAGCTGGGTATTGGGCATCGTCTACAGGAGACCTGGTGTGGGTCTGGTATTGGAAAGATCACAGAACGCTGAGTGAGAGCAGAATCAGCTGGCACCCTGTTGCTTCACCTGAATTCTGGGGGGCTCAGGCTGGGCAACTGATGGCTTCAGTGAGGCATCGATCGACTGCTCTTGCTAGCACCCTTGTGTGAGGCTCCTGGTGAGTGTGTCCTCAGAGAGTTGCTGGGTGTCGTGCACATGAAGCCGCAGCAGGTCCACCCTGAATCAGCTTAGGGTTAACGAGAGTAAGGGCTGCTTTTTCATCTCTCCTAACATGTGTCAAAGTACTTAATATTTACCAGTCTGATGGGTTGGAGTGATAAATAAGGCCTTCCCTTTCCATTATCCACTGCTATATAGAAGCCACACCAAGTGGCAAAGGGTGTAGCTCAGTGGCAGAGCACTGCCCAGCACGTGTGAGGCCTGAGGTTCAACTCCCAGCAAATGCCTACCCAGCAAGAGTTCAAACCCTGCTACCAAAAAAAAAAAAAAGTTCACTCTTGCTTTTAGGGTTAGACATTTCTTTCTTTCTCTTTCTTTCTTTCTTTCTTTCTTTCTTTCTTTCTTTCTTTCTTTCTTTCTTTTTTTCTTATTTTTGGTGGAATTGGAGATCGAACTCAGGCCCTCGTGCTTACCAGGGAAGCGCTTATTCTACTGAGCCATCTCCCCGGCCCCAAGGGTTAGACATTTGGGCAACGAAGGGCAGGACAGCAGAGGGCATCTGCAGCTTAGTGCCATCAACTGGCACCTGATGAGTGGTCCTTGGATAGTACCCAGGCCTGACTAGGGGAACCATACCCTTTCCAGAATTCCTGGTGTGTGGCAGCACCCTTAGCGTCTACTGTGCCTGTCTGGATCTTCCAGGACATCCTGTCTGAGCCTGTCCTCCTCTGAGCCAGAACTGGAACTGTTCACTCTGGCCTGGGGTGGCCTGCTGAAGGAGTGGGGTCCAAATCAGGGCCCAGGCTGAGCTGAACAGAGACTGAAGGCGAAGGACAGGACAATGGTGTGGGAAGGAAGAACTCCCTCTGGGAGACACAGGCCATCGATCAGGAGGAGATGTGTGTGGGAAACCACTTGGGGAAGAGGGTGAGGAGGGTCTTCAGAGGAAGCTGAGGCTCCCTAGCTGGCCAGCGGGGAGGGGGCAGGTAGGACTGACCCTTGGGTACTGGGCTCACTAGTGTTGCTCCTGCCTCGTGGCTTTGTCAGAAAGGTGTCAAGAGTCTGAGTCCCCTTCCCTCACATGACTCTAGTGGGGTCTGGAAAAGAGACCAAAGAGGAGGGTGCAGGGTGCCCATCCCTGGTTCCCACCTGATAGCTGTTTGGGTCTCCTGCTGTGGTGGCATCTGTGGGCTTGGTCCTTGTTTGTGCCTGGTTCTGTTATATCATATGCTATGACTGCCTGACCATAATGGGGTCTGAATCAGCAGCTCTGGGGACTAAGGAGCTTGAGTCCTACCTCCGGTGCTCTGGGGACAGGGCTGTCCCCACCCTCTGGGCAGTGGGCCCAGGAAGTCAGGGCTGCCCTCCTAGGTGCCAGTCAGCGATCTGCTCAGGCAGGTCTGACCACATTCCTCCAGCTGAGAGCTGGCAGTTAGCTTCCTGGGGCCCTGAAGGGGTACCTCCCACTTAGCTGACTTGTGGTGGAAAGGTGGAGCACCCCAAGCATTTCCTGGGGGCTGGGTTTTCAGAGGGCTGGCTGGGGCCACAATTACTCTTCTGATGATGGTAGTTCTGGGGTGGTCCTCTGTGGATTACAGGGCAAGTGAAACTGCCTGCCAGGTCCGTTCCCAGCCTAGCTCCCTGGGAATTCCCTAAAGCAGTGCAGCTGCCAGGTGCTCCTGGGAAGGTGGCAGGCTGATTGTTTCCCAGGCCCTGTATAGGTGGAGCTCCTTGTTCCCTGGGTGCTGAACTGTGCTGGGGGCAGGAAAGGGTCCAGGCTGGCTGGCTGGATCTCACCCCTTTTACCCCCACTCCTTACAGCCATCCGGGTGACCTGCACAGGATCCTGCGGGATCTCCAACAAGGCCAATGATGTGGCATGGGTGGTGGAAGAGAGCTACTTCAACAGCTCCCTGTCGCTGGCTGACAAGGGTGAGTTTGGGAGCCAGTTATCAACCCATGTAGTGACCCCTGGGGCAGTCTTTGCCTACGGTGGGGCCTGTCTAGTCTCCCCTCTCCACAGCTGCCTCTTGGTTTCCTGTGCTGGAGGCGCTACTGCAGTTCTCTTCCCTGCAGCCACTGCCTCATGGGCTGGGTGGCCAAAGGGGGCCATTTTTTCTGTGGTGCTGGATCTGCATGTGCTCTGATTCTGGGGGGAATCTGTCCCGCTTCCTGAATCTCTTTCACATCCAAGGGCATCTTGGTGGTTCTTGGCCAGCCCATGACTATGCTGTTGTTGGGCTGGAGAGAGGCCAGGAGACCAACAGCCATGTGCAGCATAGGCTGGCTGGCGGAGGTGCCCGCGGCTGTCCGGAGCTGTGGCTGGCCTGTGGGCCTCCCTGGGCCTGTCCCCACCTCACTCCTGTCTCTGCAGGGAGTCTACCTACAGGAGAGCACAACTTTCCCTTCCAGTTCCTGCTTCCAGGTGAGAGCTGGCCTGGATGGCTGGTGGGGACAGCAGCTATGGGACACTGGGCCTGGCACAAGGAGGTACCGGGTGCCAGTCTCTGCTGTCTACTCAGCCACAGCACCCACATCCTTTGAGGGTCCGTTCGGGAGGATTGTGCACCAGGTGAGGGCTACCATCGACACACCAAGGTTTTCCAAGGATTACAAGTGCAGCCTTGTATTCTACATTTTGAACCCACTGAACCTGAACAGCATCCCAGATATCGAGGTGAGGATGGAGCAGGGGTCTCCTTGGTAGCCCCCACCCCTTGGGGATGTGGGGAGAGCCAGGCCTGGGGCTCTGTGTTCAGTACAGCCAGGGCAGTCAGGGTAGGTCTGGAAGCAGCAAGCAGGAGCCTCTGTCTGAACCAACTGCTGGTGCCTGAGGCAAGGCTGAGCAGGCCGCCCATTGCCACTGGGATGCAGCTTGCGCTCACCTGCCAAGCTCCTCCCTGATCCTCTCCCCCAAGCAACCCAATGTGGCCGCCACCACTAAGAAGTTCTCCTACAAGCTGGTGAAGACGGGCAGCGTGGTTCTCACAGCTAGCACTGATCTTCGGGGCTACGTGGTGGGACAGGTGCTTCGGCTACAGGCCGACATCGAGAACCAGTCTGGCAAGGACACAAGCCCTGTGGTGGCCAGTCTGCTGCAGGTCAGAACCTTCTCTGGCTGCCCAGGGTGGGGGTTGCCAGCCTGCCCTGGCTCACAGACTGGTCTTTTCCCAGAAAGTATCATACAAGGCCAAGCGCTGGATCTATGATGTGCGGACCATCGCCGAGGTGGAGGGTGCTGCTGTTAAGGCCTGGCGGCGTGCTCAGTGGCAAGAGCAGATTCTGGTGCCTGCCTTGCCCCAGTCAGCCCTGCCAGGCTGCAGCCTCATCCACGTCGACTACTACCTGCAGGTTGGTACTGCTGTAAGACGGGAGGTGAGGCCACGTGGCCTTGCACTGGCCCTCATCACCTCGTCCTCTCCAGGTCTCCATGAAGGTGCCTGAAGCCACTGTGACCCTCCCAGTCTTTGTCGGCAATATTGCTGTGAACCAAACCCCACTGAGTCCCCAGCCAGGCCCTGGGCCCCTTCCCAGAACCTCACCATCAGTGGTGCCCTCGGCGCCACCTCAGGAGGAGGCCGAAGCTGCGGCTGCGGCTGGTGGACAGCACTTCTCTGACCTGGTCTCCCTCTGCACCAAAAGCCACTCACAGCAGCAGCCACTACCAGCTGGCTTGGGTTCTGCGCCTGGCGCCCCAGAGCTCTGTGCTCAGGATGGCAACCCTGCCCCCGGCTCTCTGTACCCTCCTTTGTGCATCTCTACAGGCGCCACCGTCCCTTACTTTGCAGAGGGCTCAGCGGGCCCTCTGCCCACCACCAGCGCCTTGATTCTCCCCCCAGAGTATAGCTCGTGGGGCTATCCTTATGGTGAGTGCAAAGTTGTGACTGGGTTGGGGGGAGATAAGCTACAAGACCCTTGCAGACCCCACTCTGTCCCCCCAGAGGCTCCGCCATCCTATGAGCAGAGCTGCTGCAGTGCTGACCCTGGCCTGAGCCCCGGGAGCTGACCCTCCAGAGCTGACCTATGCTGCCTTCTCTGATGGGCCAGGCCTGTGCCCTGGGACAGGACACCCAGGGCCTTGTGCCTTTGCTCTCTGCCTGGCCCAGTCACTCAGGACTCATGCCTGCCTAGGACCAGCCTCTCCTGGCTCCCCTAGAGTCGGCCCTCTTCTCCTGTGGACTGGGGGCTGGGGGTGGCAAGGGCTTGGAACCAGAAGAGACTGTAAATAAAGCGCTTTATTTGTGGAACTGGGCAGAGGCCCACTGGGCAATCTGCCCGCCCATGCCTTCCATCCTCCTGTGTGGACCTCTGGTCCCGCCTCCGCCATGTTCCCCTTCCCTGGTCCCACCCAGGCTCTTTCCATCCCCTTCCCCTTCCCTTGTCTGTCTGGATCCTCACATCTGCCAAACTGACAGTTTTGGGGATGCCCTCCCCATCCCTTTCAAGGTGCACTCTGGCTTGCTGACTGGCACTTCTTATTCCACACCTGAGGAAACTGTGGGGAGAGAGCTTGCCAGGTCCCTGTTCTCAGTAGAATCTTGCCTTTGGCTCTCAGATCACTGCCTAGCTGGCATGGCTCAGTATCAAAGGCATGGGGCAGCACACATGGTTTAGTGAGGGCACCTGCCTCTGCCTGTGTTCTGCAGGCTGGAGGGATGTGGATGTGTTGGAGGCAGCTAAGGTAAACTTGGCCCAGTCCCAGCTAGAATTAGGTGCATGGTGATTGTGTTTGGTGTGTCCGCCATAGTACCTTGGCTGTGTAACAGTCACACAGGCTCTCAGGAGACAGTCCTGTGCTCTCCTCCCCCAGATAATCACAAGTAGAGGAGGGTGGATCCAGGCCTGCCTTATAGCTGTCACTCCCAAGTTGTTTCTACCTTCTGATTGTTCTGTGCCCTGGCCTGCTGGGTCTGCACACCATCGTTGGGAAGTGTGTTGTATCACTTGCACACTTGCCAGTGGCCACACTTGCTGTTGGTGATGTAGCCTTTTACTAGGCAGGTGGAAGGTGAGTATTGGAGAAAAGCAAAAAGTAGGCTGCAGGCAGGACAGCCACCTCGTGGAAGTTCAGTGGCCAGCTGTATAACCTAGCTGGTGGTCAGCTCCTGTGCTTCAGTTTACTCATAAAATGTGGATATGTACAGGGACTGCCTCTCAGGATGTGAAATACATACATGTTCAGTCGCAGGGTAGGTGGTCAGTGACTATTCTAGGCTAGCCAGGTCTGCCTGTTGGGAAAATGGGAACAGAGGGCTTCCTGTGGGCTACATTTTAGTTTTTGTAAGCTACTTGGGATATATTCATTTACAGTTATATTTGTTGGGTCAAGAATTTCCCCCACATTTTAGGTCCACATACTCATTTACCAAGTATTTGTTTTCTTATTTGCCACATATTTTAGGTACAATAGTGCAAAGACAAGTATGCCAAGTATATGCCAAGTAAGGGTGTAGGAGAGTCGGGGTAGAGCTGAGTAAATCAAATGTGAGGTGCCTGTCTTAGTTACTTTTCTCATTGTTGGAACAAAATACCTGACACACAAGTTAAAGGAGGAAAGGTTTATTTTAGCTTACAGTGTATAGAGGTTTCGGTCCATAGTCATTTGGCTCAGACAGGGCAGCACTGCAGACAAGCAATTATGGCATGGCAGGCGGGAAGCAATGAGCCTTTCCCTTTTTTCTTTCTTTTTAAAATATATTTGGTACAGGGTCTCACTACACATACCACACACGTGATCCTCTTGTTTTCGGCCTCCAGTGCTGGGCTTACAGGTGTGTGCCACCATGCTTTGACTCGGTCACCAGCTCAGCATGCCTGGGAATTGAACCCTGGTCCCTATGCTCACCTAACCAGGCACTTGGTCCACTGAGCTATCCTGCAGGCTCTGAGCCTATCCCTTTTATCACATCCAGTCTGCAAGCCTGTTGGTTGGTGCTACCCACACCTAGCATGGGTCTTCCCCTTATCCACATCCAGAGAACTATGCTAAACCAACAGTGAACTAATCCATTTTTCACACCTTAGATCCAGCCACCGCTAAAAAGCCCCTCTTATGAGATCATGAGAGTTTGGGGGACATCTAGATACAAGCCATAATAGTGTCATTTCTAATCTTTTCTGAAATCATATTTAAGAGGCAAAAATGGAAAAATAAGAAAAAGAAGATGCAAGGATGGTAAGGAAGCCGGCTACACAAACATCTGAGATAAAGGTTTCTGGAAAGGGACAGATGAAGCAGAGATGGCCAGGAGTGGGGGTGCATGCGTATAATCTTGCTGAGGCAAGATTGCTGTGGGTTCAAGGCAAGCCTGGGCTGATCTGCCTAGTGAGACCCTAAGGTAGGTGGGGGAAGAGGAATCAAGTTGGACTCCCGCACCTGTCATCAGTTGCCCTGAGATCTGGGTGACACTTGGGGCTGTGCATCTCCTCCTCTCGATCTGTGAGCATCAACAATTAGTAGAGTTAGTAGAATTGTTTCTACTCTGTCTCATCGCAAGACTGGGTCCAGAGTGGCTGTCAAGATTCAAGGCTTAAAAAAAAAGAAAAGATTCAAGGCTTTCTTAGTTCTTGTCACTGAGAACCACCATTTCACTTTATGCTTTTCCTCAAGTCCCAAGGACAGGAGAGGCAGGTCTGGTGGGAGCAGTGGCCTAAGACAGTTTATGTGGTGCTAGATATGCTATTCAGTCAAGGGTATTTGTGCTGCAGTAAAGGCCTTGACCTGTGTATAGCAAGCCTGTGCCTGGCAGGAGGCTTGGATAAACCAAGGAGAGCTTATCTCCTACCTGGAGCAACCCTCAGCCAACACCCTTCACCACATCTGGAGAATCCCCCAGCAGGGCAATGCCCCTGTCCCCTGGGGTACTGCCCCAGCCAAAGCACCCATTCCCAATCACAGCCTCCTCCCTAAGTAGGATATTTCTCCTTGTTGGAATGCCCTCGATTTAGGCCACCACCCCTAGCTGGAGTATCCACTCTACCTTGTGCCCTCTTGCTCCTGTAGGGGTAGAGGTCCTGTCTGATTAGAACACTCAAGTTGGGACATGCCCCAAACTGGGATCCCTTCTCCCAGCTGGGGCATTCCTCCTAACCAGGGAACCATCTCTCCATCCCAAGACTCTCCTCAAGGCTTCCTTAATGCTGGGGCCACTAAGCATAACCCTTAATTGGAAAATCACCATAGGGCACAACTCAGGGTGTGTACCTTCTGTGAAAGTCAAAGAAGTCAAAATCAGTGTGGGCCAGATGTTAAGAGGGGACACCTTGGTCTCCATTTTGGCCAACCCACCAGAATGTCAATTTAGAATTCAAGGCCCCCAGTAAAAAAGTTAAATAAATAAATTAAAAAAAAATAAGAATTCAAGGCCCCTGCAGGCCCCTCATCTGCAGGGTACACATCCTGAGCTTCAGAAAAGGTGCCTGAAACCCCATAGACTAGCCTGTATGTACTATGTGTTTTGTTATAATAAAGCTTAAATTAGGCACAGGAATAGAGTAGTCAAAACCAATAACAATTATAACACTACACTAATAAAAACAAGTGGTGTCTCAACTCTTAACGTTCTGTACTCCTCTGTGATAAGTAACACAATGCCTATGATGGGATGGCGAAAGCAGACACTGGTACTCCACACCATGCGGCTACTGACCTGATTGTTCGCCAGGAGGGCCATCTGTTTCGGGTAACCAGGGTGATCCCAGACTACACAGCCATTGCCATGTTGTTGGATGGATGCCAGGAGCAGTTACACAGCTGGGATCCTCTACGGCAGATTTTTTTCTCCCCCAAAACCTTTTGGAGGAACGTAATTGGAAAGATGTGTCCTTTAACTTCTCGAAGTGTTGCTGCAGAGGCTACAGTCCTTGAGCAGATACTATGAGTGTAAAGTATTTTATTCTTCGATGTCTCCCCCACTCCCTTGGTAGTATACTGTGAATTAGAGTTTGTCCTTTGATTTCTGTGCAATTGTAAAGATTGGCAAATTTTGGTTATGTTGGCACTGTTAGCTTTGTTACAGCGTTTTGTTTCTCTTTCAGCTTCAACATTGCTTGACATGTAGCAGGGGCGTGTTCACCGCCAAAAGCAGCGTCTGGAGTACTTTTTTTTCCCTTTTTTGTCTTTGACACAGGGTCTTGTTATACAGTTCAGGTTGGTCTTGAGCTCACCTTGTAGCCCAAACTGGCCTTGAACTCGAAAAGACCCTCCTGCCTCAGCCTCTGAGTGCTGCGATCAGTCGTGCACCATCATGCTCCGCTGCAGTAAAGTTTTGTTTCCTAGTCCAAAACTATTCCCAAGTCTATGCCACCATCTCTCCGTCCTCCTGAAGGGCTTCCCGTGGAAATCTTGGTGTAGGCTCAGTGCATTCTGATCAGGCATCATAACTCAGCACACGTTTTCTGCTCTCACCACTCACAAATTTAATGCTTTCTCCGTCCTAACGAAGCACTCATTATGCACTATAGCCTTAACTTTTGCAGTGTGAGGTGTGAGGGCAAAACTAGCAGGTTCCCCCCCCCCCCGCTATTTCGCAGATGCAAGATTTGTTCTTACCAGAGGTTAGCAACCTCCTTTCCTAAATAAGTCCAGAACTTTCATGTTTTCACTTCTTTTTGGCCTATTCGAATTGCCCGGCATCACGACTCTGGCGCTTTGGGGCCACCGTCAGGCAGGCTAAGGGCCACGGAATCGACAGTCGCGCCTCGCTGGAGGACGGTGAAGCTTCATTTGCCATGCAGAAGGGCGCGCAACGGAAAAACTAGTTTCTCATTTAATATTTGTGGGCTGTGGGTAGCGAGAAGGCTAACTGCCAAGAACGGCACTACACCCTGCGGCACTGCGGGACCCAGCAGAAGGGATCCCGGGGCGCTTAGGAATCTCGCCGCAGCAGCGGCGCTCCGGACCCCGGCACCGCGCAGGCGCACCCCCGACCCGCCCAGCGCGCAGGCGCCCCGGGGCTCGAGCCGGGCGC